ATTGAGATAGCTACACTTTGGTCTCTGAAAATACTTATCTGAGTTTCTCTTACAGCCAGCAGTCACATTTGGTGGAGCCTGGAGATCTATCCATGCATTCACCTTTCCATAAATGCTTGCATTTCATCAACTGAGCAGTTCTCTCATCTCTTTGAAATACTGTCTAGCTGTCTTCTGAGGACACTGGAAGTTTAGAAACCCCAGTGATACGGAGACCCTGTATTCAGCGACGACTGCATGTTCCAGTTTCCATTGGCACCAAGATGACTTTCTTCTATTTTTTTGCCTTTTCCACACTCCTCACTTAATCCTCTTTCAGCAAAATTCACCCTGATCCCACAGGGAATTCATAGTCAGTAACCTCAGTCTACTCACCTCCCATTTGCATCCTGAATACCTACCAAAACGCAGCTCTCTTGTTATATGGATTTCCTCTCCTATGGATAGGTTTGGTTATGTTTTCTAGCTACGGTGCAACAAAACATGGTGATTAAATAATTATACACACAAATAATTCTGAAGCTGAAGAATTCTCCCCCGCCATTAAATGAGATTTGCTTAGAGTCCAGGAATAATTACACTACTGCAGTCTTACTGGGCATCTTTCATCTTAAAAAGAAAACAGAACTAATGCTCTTTAATATATGAGTGCTGCTCTCCTCAATAAAACCTGAGGGTATGTGAAATTGCAGCCCAAGGTATAACTACAGCTTGCATGTCTGTGTATAATTTAGCTTTGTATAAAATCTGGAAAACGTGTATGTCTCAGGCTGCACACAACATACCCATCACCAGGCATGTTTTCCAGGTCAGAGCCACCTTGCTTGATCAGCAACAGGGCTGTAGGACTCTGAGGGCTACTGGGTCATCTGAAGTCCCCAGGTGTGGGAAGAGCTGATGTAGCAGCATTGATAAGGCTGCTGGGTTGCTCCATAAATCAGCCCAGCCCTGCCCTGCCCCACCTCACCCCACAAGACTCAGGCTCTGAGGAGGGGGAGGGGGATGTTTGTACCTTCTTCTCTGTGTCTGAGTTGCTGTCAAGAGGTGAAGGACCTCAGTTAGAACCAAGAGGCTTGTAGAGGTGAGAAGGACATAGTGATGCACGCTCATTGGAGTGGCAATTGTGTATTCAGACAAAGACAGCCTGGAATAGCACTTTTGTCCTATGCTGAAGGGAGAAGAAGGGGTGTGGGGTTCGCTGGGCCTTCTTAAAATGCAAGTATGGTAGACATGTGTATGGACCTGTTTATTAGTAAGGTGGGTGCTCATGAGTCCAACTTTTGGGTTATTTAGAGTGGAGTGCCTTGGAAGTTCCACCCTTGCAAATAATCCATTTTTAATACTTTGTTAGTGCTTGTGGTATGTGCTGATACTGCCAGAGTGGATTCATATTCCTGTATTGCCTCATGGCTCGCAGAGGTGTGGTGCTAATATCCAATTTAATAATCTATTAATTCTAAAGCTATTAATTAAATCTTCATTCTAGTTCATTACCTAATTAAGCCTGCTAATTTCAGCAAGAAAAACTGGCAGCTGTCTTTCAGTTCCTTCAAGGCTATTAGACTAAAAGAGTGCTGATCTGGTGGCACAGAACCCTGCTAAATGAATTTATAGTTGAGCTTAGGGACAGAGAAGGCCCTTCTCACAAAAGGAAAAGGGAAAGCAGAGCTCTGCTATCCAGAGGAAATAGCTGAATTGTGTTGCCAGGTCCTCCTCTTCTGCAAATATCTGTATAGCACTGCTTCTTCCAACTCGGGTCAACAAGGCTAAAACTTCAGCTTGAGTAGAAAGCTGCCACAAAGGCTAGTACACTCCTACCTTGCTCCTGGTAACTCATGTCACAGCTTGAAAAGGGATTTAAACAGTAAAAGCAGCCCTGCACCAGCTCCTTGTCTGAGCATCCCATGCAGGGTTCATTCTGCCCTTTCTCCCATGTGTGTCCCATGCCTTGGTCTCCCTGGCCCTGTCATAAATTTGGCTGGCGTGCGATATTGGAATTATAATGACAGGTTATAAGTAATAAGACTAATAATAATTAGGTGTGTCTGAGTCTTAGATCCACCCTTTATGTATAGAGTGTCCTTAGACAGGTTAGGTGGCTTTTGGGCATCAGTTATCCCATAATAAGATGGTAATTGTCTGTGCTGTAGGGGTGTAAAGAGAAAGAAGTTTGCAAGAAGCAGTAAGAAGATCATGTGGGATGTTATAATGACAATGAAATGTGGCATTCTTTATAATGACTGAAACAGCAGGGGAAGGTAGAGGAACAGCTGGGCTCCCACATGCAAGGCAATATGGGTGGAAAGCATTGAAACAAGCGGTGTAAGGGAAACAAGGGAGAGGTGTTTGTGGGAGGTCGTTAAAAGGCAGGCAAAGGAGCAAAGGCCAAGAGTGAAGGCCAAATTGGCAGAAAGATGCAGTATTATCAGAAGCACTGTGGTTTTTTGCTAGGCTGTTAATCAAAATGTCTCAAGATACGGCTTAGGCAGGTGAGTAGAGAATATTGAGGGTTCTTTGAACATGTGATGTGTCAATACACACTGAATGGACCCATACGATATGCCTGCATTTCAGACAGCAGAGCGCTGTCATGTACAACACAGATATGACAGACAAATTTCTCTGAAAGGGATCAAGCTCTAAGTTCCTAAGCTGAAAGGCTAAAGGCTCTTCCCTAAAAAGCCTCAGCAAGGGTCTTGGAGGACAGACTATCTTGTGCAAGCTGCTTACTTCTCAAGAAGAATCAAGTTAGTGGTTTTCAGGCATGTATTTTTTTTTTCTTTTAAAAAGGAATAATTTGCAAGTCATCTTCAGCAGGTGAAAATCACTTCCTGAATCCCCTTGTGCAGCTAGAATATTGTTAAACTCCTCGAACTGCTGGACTGGATGAGGTGTAGATAATGAGTCACGATTGGGTCTTTTGGACTGGAGGTTCCTGAGAGCTCCACCCTGCTGATGAACTCATTACCAAATTTTTCACAACACTTTTTGCGTGAGCCAAGCAGTCCACAAAGCTTGTATCTCTGCCTTGCCTCCCAGTTTATCTAGGGTGTGACACCAAGACACAGTTCACAAGCTAATCTTCCAAGATAGAGGAATTACATCTTCATATTGGATCAATAAAGTAGAGCACATGCTAATGCCTGCAAGATAAACAAGCAGATTTATAGGAGTTCCCATCCTGTAAAGGGAAAAATTTAAATATATATATTCACCAAATATTTGAGGGGCTCATTTTAGAAAGAGCAGATTTACAGGGGCCTGGGAGCATGTATGGGCTGCTCATCTCCCAGGCAGATGTCCAGGTGAGCTGGCTGAGCAGACAGCAGATCACAGTGAAGCTGAAAGCCCGGGGGCTGCAGCAGAAAGATGGGCAAACTGTCTTCTCGGAGGCTGGCAGCTTCCCAGGGAGACTGGACGGAATCCAGGCTGCTTAGCATGTTTTCGTATGATGTTTTAATACCACTGTAAAGTTTTCTGCAATCCCTTTTCTCTTTGAAGAAGCCTCTGGGAAAACGACTGCATCTGGATGTGGCTGCATGGGCTGCTTGCAGAATAAGCATACCCTGATTCATGGGCATCTGCCTCCACAGGTGAGGGCAAATTGTTAAATAGCAGCTCTCAAGACTCACCAGCCCAACAACGGGGAATTAGAGCTTAGCTAGCTTCCACATTTCAGCTTTAGGGACAAGTTTACCTATGAATTTTATTTCATTTTTGTTAAACTGGGTATTTATCTTGCAAAAGCTGGCAGAGGTGCCCTGTCATAACTGCAGTAATATTCTTGGGACCAAAAAGACAGTGCTTGCACTTAAAATGTATGGACATCTTAGAGGAATAGAAGTTAGAATTTGAGGGCGGGGGGAAGAGGGGAGCATGGAGTAGCTGGGGGGTTTTCCTGAACCAAAGTCAATAATAAGGAAAACTTCTCAAGGTGTCATTCCTTTTCATCTACTTCTTGCTTTTCAGCTGACACATCAAGCCATGAACTCTCAAAACCACAAGCTGTACTTAACAGGATGAGGAACAAGTGAAAGCTCTGCGACGCAAGTGAAAATGTGTCTTGTGCAAAGGCATGTGAACGGAGCTGAGGAGTGCAAGAGGGAGTTGATTATTTTCTCACTTCATGGGTGAGCAGGACTGACAGATTTGATTTTGATGCCTGCCATCTAAATTTCACCAGTAGGTACCTGAAAATCAAGAGTAGAAGAGAAAGAAAACGAGAAAAACACCATGATAATGCAGAATAATTTTAATGGGAAGGGAAAGGACAGAACAAGACTGCTAGAATAAATAACAGCGTAAAGGGCGCAGTTCCAGATGCAGATTTTATCACTCATATACTTCATGAACTTCCATATGGAAGTGATACATTTCATCAAATACTTTTTTCTTTTTCTTAAGTAAAATTAAATGTAAAGAGAGGATCGGTTTCTTTTTCCCCCCACTTCTTTCCTGCAGTGAAACTGAAAACCAGAAACAAATGACGTGTGTGTGTGTGTATTTATCAAAAGGAAAAGTGAATTTCCTGATGACTAGTTCTCTTAAATGCTAAGACCAGTCTAATTATGTCTAGCAGTGAAAGGGTTTGTCACATCGCAATTGACCACATTTGTGGTGTTCTTGAAACAGCTGCTGCCTTCATTTTTCTGGAAAGCAATGGAAAAAGAATAAATCGTTCCTGAGAATCAGATACTGTATGTTTCAAAGGTCAGGTTAACACAAATGAGGATAGGGGGCATTTTATTACTCTCATCACCTGCCTGAGAATGTTCCTGAGGAAAAAAACTATGAACTTAAGGTAAAGCATAAGTTAAAAAAGACATAGGTAAGTCTGCTTTAGAGAGGCAGTAGGAGCTTATGAGGCCTTTGGACTTGGTCACTGGGGTTGGTATCACTATGTTATTCTGAGGTCTCTTTGTCATTCTCATTTGCTGTATCTGTATTTTCAGTTTCTGGCTTCTTATTCTCTGGAGCATGCTCTTCCCTCTTGCTCTCAGACAGTTGGTAGCGTCTGTAGCTGGGCCTACTGCAAGGATGCATCCAGCGGGAAGAAAACACGTAGGAGCACCGTGGTGCACACTGAGGCATGTATTTTGGGACGAATCTCTCTGCAGGTGGGTCTGTGCGCAGGACCTCTGCTCTCAAAGATGTCAGCGGGGCTGGTGCGCCTCCCTCCTGGACTTCAGAACTTCCCACTACTGTCTCCTGTGGGCACGTGCTGAGGATCGGCCCTGGGAATGTCACAACGACGGGAGGGGGGTATATAATGACTCTGGAGGCACCGCAGGATACAACACATGGGTCATTGCAGCTGGTAGCAAGAGGCTGTGGGCACTGCATGTCGCATGAGTAGAAACACCGTCCTGCGTCTCGCTCCCCACTGAAGGACATCTGGGAGAAATGGTGGCGAACCTGCAGCACATAACAGAGACCACAGGCGTGTTTCTCAAAGTATTTGCAACCTATGCCCTGTCCTTCGCCCTGCAGACCCTTGCACCTCGTGGCGGACTCCTGCTCTTGTCTCCTGTTCTCCTTGCAGGGAGGGTGAGGCACGTGCCACAGCTGGGGATATGCTGTGGTGGAGAAGGCGGCGCAAGTAGATAAGAGTGCGGCTCAGGTATTTTAGTTATGGGGGCTGCGCAGGTAACGTAGATGCTGTAGCAGAGACAACGTGAGCCTGTGATTTCAGGAAATGAAGCTCACAGGTCAGTAGAGGCTTGTCCCCTTGCTCCACCTACCCCATCACCATCACCCAGAGTCCTTCTCACCCTGCCTTCACCCTCCCAAAAAGGACCCTTAGGCCTCCAGGTTTAACCAACCTCCATCCCATTTTTATCACTGCCATCCATTGCCCACAGGCCATTTCCACCCCTGCCCCTGTGCACTGCCTCTTTTCACTCTCCCAGTTACAGATCCTGTCTGGGCAGCCACCAAGGACAACTGGAAATGTACTGCAGCTGTGGCCAGTGACTTCAACCTAGCCACTGCTGGTGCCATAAGGCCACTGGTCATACAGGAATGGGTATTTTATACCCCTGTTCTGGAGAATGTCCCTGCCTGGAATCATTTGTTTGTCTCAGTGATAGAGCATGCCCAGCCCTCGTTAGAGTAATTATGCATAATAGGATTCCTGTGCCTCTGCTGAGTTTGCACTGGGCACTGTGTCAGTGTCCTGAGAGGGTCGTGCAGACTAGCGAGTCCATGTCAGGCAGGACTGGGAGAAAAAACATTATCCCAGCTCTGCAAGCTGGGGACTGCGCTGTGGGAGATGGAAGGACCCGATTTCTGTGCCATTCTGCGTGCTAGCCCCCGAGCTCCTAGGAAAATCTTGCCTCCAGGTACCTGCAGATGGTTTACAGAGACCATTCGTGGCAGAGCCAAGAACTTCATAGAGGTTTTTGGTGCCTACCTTTTTGCCTAGACCCTGAATCCATCTTTTAGGTCATTAAACTGGAAGTAATTACAAAAATATATTGTGGGAAATTTCTGTCAAATTTAAAAACTTCGTGATGTAGATGATTACCTGTATAGTAGCCACTTTATTTTTGTCCCTGGAGAAAATCAGACGCTCTCAGAGTGCAGTCAAGCTCATTCAGAGGTAGGTGTTTAAACAAGTAATCTGAAATGCCTGTTCCTGTCCACCGATTATAATGGAAAGGTTAAGGGGGATCCCATTACTTATCTTGCCTAGCTTTTCATGTCTGTCAATGCTCAGCATCAGATGCTCTCATCAGAAAAACCCTGAAGTCATTGAGTATGAAAACAATCGCCCTTGCAGAGCTGCTTCTTCCTAATAATGCTATGATAAGGGTGTCTTAACCCAAAGAGAGAGGCTCCAGGCACGAACAGACCTGCATGAATGACCATTTTAGTCCCTTTTTATCCCTTTGAGAACTAAATCTTGCTGATTTATGAATAAAAGCTTTTGGAAAACAAATTTGAACATAGCAGATCTTCTCCAATTTTTTAATGAAGAAATACTAATACTGATGTTACTCAGCAACCTCATCTTGTTGAAGATGTCCCTGCTCGTTGCAGGGGGGTTGGACTAGGTGACCTTTAAAGGTCCCTTCCAACCCAAACTATTCTATGGTAATGTTATCTAAACTCTACCTGAATAGAGCTTTAAAATGTCTTTTATGCTGGATACCATGTAGCTATGTACAGTTAACTGATAATAACAAAATGGCACTACTTTTTTTTTATAAGAATGCCAATCCCCATAGATATATTTTTAAGGCTGCACATGGTCCAAGTATACAACTAAATGATATCTAGCAGATTTTTTGAGAATTTCATTAATCAGAGTGGCTTGCTGTTAAATCCCAGCTCATGTTAAAGCAACGTTTTAATCAATATAATTAGACTGAGAAGAATGGGACTTACCAGCTGTCCAGGAAGAAGTCAAGAGAAATGGCCAGAGGAGCCCTGAATCCTTTGAGTTTTATATGCTTTCTTGAACTTCCAGGAAGATGAGACAACCTTTGTGCATGAAGTCTTAATTACTTTCCAAACAATTTTTCCCGCATGTGTAACACTTATAATTACTATAATTATTTTAACATTGTTTACCGGCATTATTCAATTTTCTGTGGTACATACTGTTACATGCTGTGGGGTTCCCTTTGTATTATATTTTTATGGTCTAAGTAAGTTGCTGATGTGATTCTACCACTTCTGTCTGTATGAACATGGGGATGCAACTTGCTCCAGTGTGTTCAGCTTTGACTGACATTGACCGCACGAGCAGTGGTTTGCAGGCAGCAACCGATGTATTGCAGACATATTGCCTATATCTGCTGCTAGGTGTGGGATTTTAATTCACTCACCTAAATCCACTGTAGCATTTAGTTGGAGGCACCATGGGGTTCATCCCTGTAAGTGGCTTGGAGGAGGGAGGAGTGGAGAACAGGATTTTGCAGACTGCACATGCCCCATTTTTGGTCACAAGGAAACTGATTTGGTTGTTTGCTTCCTGCCCTTTGTTTCACTGACTGTTGTCACAGCTTCGGCTGGGGGACATCATTCTGCTTGAGGATCCCCATTCCTATTCTAGGTACTGACCAGCTGCCGAGTGTCTGGCTCCAATCAGCCTGCGTGATCAGAAAGCTAAGAAATATAACTTCTGAAGGATGCCCACTTACAGAAGAGAAGGCTGGAAGGAGATAAGGTAATAATTTCTGCAGATAAAATGTAGATGCCAAGGTGAAGGACTTTAGCTGCCATTGACACCTGGTGAGGACAAGAGAAGTCATGAGCTAAAAATGCATCAAGGGAGACTCAAGTATGGGGAACGTTTTTTAATCACATGGCTACTGGTGCACAGGAATTGCTGAATTTTGTGGAACCTCACTGATTTTCCAAGGATTCAGGTGGATTCTCAGAGTTAAGAGTTGTGTTCAACTCTCATAGGCTTAGCCAAAGCTGCCTTTTAACCTATTTTAATCCATTTTGAAATGATTGCTAACAGAAATGTTTCATGTTAATGCAAAACGCTTTGGGTTCTCAAGGCTCAAAAGCAGCATCCTGTTTATGAGAACAACTAAGACACTTCCATCAAAAAATACATATTCTAAAGTTGCTATTAGCCCTGAGGTGTTTGTCTCAGATAACATACTATTAATATTATAACAATAAAACACTTTGCATGCATAAACCAGTAATGAATATTTTTGAAATGTTTTGACATTCCCTGTTGTGTGGAAACCTCACCTCACCAGTCTCTAATTGTCAGGATTATCTTCCTCATCCTCTCACAAAAGACAATGAAAAGTTCACACAAAGTTATCCAAAAAGCCAGGTGCCAAATTCATAGCTCACGGTGGAGGCTAACCCCATTGAGCTCTGTTACTAGAGATTGCTGGGAATTTCTGTTAAAAATTGTATTTCATATTCTTCGACAATTTCAGGTAGCTTATGGCTCTCTCAGTGACTTCTGAACCAATTCCTGATCATACCTTTCTTCCTTAAAAATGAGAAAAGTGTCTGGGAAAATGGAAATTCCTGCTTCTATGCCACTTTACCTGCAGAGCATCCAAATACCCCAAACTGGAAACTCCTTTACACCTCCCAGTCTTCCTTGTAGGAAGAAAAGACAGCAAGGTTGCCATTTAATTTCTAGAAGTTGTTACACCTTCTGCACAAAAACACCTTTGGAAATGGGAGTAGAAACACAACCCTAAACATCTTAAACCTCTTAATAACATGGGCACTGTAGAGCCTGTCCAGCTGGGGGATCCTGCACTAGAACTGCTTTGGACAGTGGTTGCATGGAAAGGCTGTGCAAAGTAAGCCCAAAAAAGGCAAAAGCCGCTTTGTAGCCGACCCTGTCACTGCCTGCCTCAGAGTGGAGCCGTCTTTCCTCTAAACACTCATTTGGTGGGTGAAGGTAGTAATAAACTGTCCCGTCAGTGTTGTCTTCTCCGGGGCAAACACACCTAGCTGTCCTAGCCTTTCTCTTCTTGCACCCAGTGCCCTCACCACCATCGGACTCATTCTTGGCTGTCCATGGCTCTTGTGCTGAGCACCCAAAACTGGACCTGGTGGGCTGGATGTGGTCTCCTGAATGCCAGCTGGAGGGGAACCAACACTTTCCTCCTGCCGCTGGCTGTGCTCTGGCTCAGGCAGCCCAGCCTGCGGTTGGCTCTCACCGCCACAAGGATGCAGCACCGCCTCACGTCACCTTTTGGGCTACCAGGTCCTTTTTTTGCAGCACTCATGGCCTCTCCAGGAGCAGATCCCACCTACTAATCCATTTGATGAGGGAGCGCAGGGTCTGCTGCCAGAGCAGGTAGTGGGAGGAGAGAGGGAACAAGAGAGCACAAAAACCATGCTCATGCAGAGAGCCAGTAAAAGTTCAGGCACCATTTAGTGCTTGCTTTGAGATATCAGGTTTTTATACTATCATGTCAGTGTAACCCCTTTATCAGGAGCAAAACCACAGAAACAGAAGCTCAGATTTTCAAAGGGAAACCCTTTTCTGCTGATCAATGCCACCTTCCCCATGCTAACTGAAGGGGATTCTGGATCCTTTCGGGACCAACAGTGACTGAGATCAGCAGACCCTTTTAAGCCATGCAAGTGGGATAAATGCAGGTGGGAGAGCTTCCCCTAGGCCTGGGCTGTGCCACTCTTGTGCCTTAATTATGAACCTCATTCTCCCTCTAATGGCTGCAGACCTCTGGGCCTCACCGCCTGTCCTGAGTGTGCTGGTGCCTGGGGTGAGGGAGAGTAGAGAGGAGCCAAGTTTTTAATAGACCTGCTATAAGAGAGGGATTGATTCCATGTGACGTGATCAGGAGGGAGCTACTTGCTCAGGCCTTTCCTCTGTTTTTCATTTAATTCCCCAGGGTTAGTGATTTACCAGAAGTTAAAATGAATTTTCTCTCCACATGGGGAACAAGATTCCTCCTAATCCTGGAGGACTGCTGGTAGCATCAGTCTCTGTTTTTACGGGCAAAACTATCACTTTATTAGAAAAAGGAGTCTATAGAAATCCTGCTTGGTCTGTTTGGGGTGCTGCAGGGGAAGCCAAGGAGATAGGAGATG